AATTAATTGAAAAGTCACAAAGCATATTCTTCATTCAGTCTTCATCCAATAGTTGAACCAAAAGTCAAACAATTAAAAATTTGTTATTATCACCATCTATGTCTTTTAAATAAATTATTGGATGATGACTGCATAAAAAAAAAAAAAAAAAAAAAAAAAAAAAAAAAAAAAAAAAAAATTGTAGAAAAGATCTTTTTCCAAAACAAAGATAGCCTTGCATACAAAATGAAGGAAAAACCATAACATGAATCAATAAAACTAAACAAACACAAAATTCCAGAAGAATGGCTTCTTTGAGGGATGTCATAGTCAAATATTTGGAAGATTAAACCACTTCACAATGGAGTTGCATAATCTACTCTAATTTTATTTTTATTTATTTTTTTTTTTTTTTGGGTCTATAATTTAATAATGAAATTTCCTTATCATCACAAGTCATGTTAAGAAATTCTAACTGAATGAATACAACTTTTGTCAAAATTCTAGGGCTTCCTTAAAAAATTTAGCTAAAAATTAATTTGTTGGCTAAAATAAAACCATATTGCTTGAACTAAAATATTATGTAGTGACCTGAGCATCACAGTTCAAATCATCTGATGAAAACTAATGTTGTTGGTTATATATACAAGAAAAAAAAATGAGGGAAATAAAAGAATATATCAATTTACTTCAATGCTGAGGAAAATATAAAAGAAATAATTTTAGGTACTATGAAAATTTAATCATAATTACCTAAAGTGTAAAGTATAAATTTAAAATGAGTATGATATGAGTAATATACTAATATGCAAAATAAATCTTATCCACATATTTCAATTTTACATTAAATTTTAAATTATTTTTCTAAGTATGTAGCACAACTCAACAAATATACATACACATAGCAAAGTTACTTGCATATGACAAGCCTAAACAATAGTTTTTAGTTTTTCATGATTGATGGATAAAGGATTTTAGTCAAAGCGTCACAAAATAAAATAAAATAAAATAAAATAAAAAAGTTAAATAGTTTTCAACTCAAACAAAGATGTCAAAATTTTATTTTCATTCTTTTTACTTTTTCTTTTTTACAAAGTTAAAAACTTATTTTTTAAATATTTCAATCTCTTTTATCTCACCAAAAAGTCATTTCCGAAATAAACTCTATTCTTTTGGTTCATTAACCATGAATTTTTGTTTTGAAATTTATTTCTGAAAAAAAAGTCAATGATGTAGATTTAAAATTGATAAAAAAAAAAAAAAATGTGTGTCAGATCAAAATAACTGTGGTCCATACATATCATTTTCTCAGTAATTTTTCTAGTATTAGGATTGTAGTTTGATAAATAATATATACTTTTTTTTGTGTGTGGTTTTTTTCCTTCCAAAGGCCAATTATTTGTCATGAAATGTTTACTTTTTGTCTTTTTGTATTAAAAAATTAAGGAAAAAAATATAAATGTTTGGGTTAATTTTTTAACTTTTTATAAAAAAAAATATGTATTAAAAAATTGTATAAATTAGTGTGTAGAGAAAAATTAGGATTGAGAGTTGTGCAGTCGTAATTTTTGACTTTTGATGAATAGTGATAATTTTTTAACTTTTTAAGTAACTTTTTGACTTTTTAACTTTTTTAACTTTTTTCAACTTGCTACACTTGACCTAAATAAATAAAAAGTCTAAGTTGTTGTTCCCTATTCCTTGATTAAATATGTGGAGGGTAATATTATCCAAACATAATTTATATACTTATATAAATTATGAGTCATGCTACCGTACATATTTTTTTTAAATGTGTATTATATGTGAATCATGATATTTGTGATATTGATTATCATAAATATCATAACTAAATTATTTTTAGTTATAAGTAAAAAAAATAATAAGTCATAACTAAACAAATACATTTCCAATCATAATCAAAATAATAATCACAACAGATTATAACTAATATCATAATGGGTCAACTAATATCATAATAAATCATAATTAACACCACAACATGTCACAATGGTACACACTCCAAAATCGGTTGTATTATAGAATTTTTCAAAATACTAGCCTCCATTTGAGAAGTGGGCTGGATTTTTAGCTTTTTGGCCTTTTTAGCTATTTTAGTCTGGGCTAAAAAGGGTTTGGAAAGAATTTTTTGACTTTTTGACTTTTTCGACTTTTTTTGTGAGAGAATAGTGTAATGATTATGGATTAGATATGATATTTTATTTGTTATAACTAAAATAGCCTATTTTATCTTTTATGACTATTTTAATCTCAAAACCACTTGCTAAACACCACCTAATATAGATAATGTGAATAGTTTGTACTCATTCATTGAAAATCGAAATTCTCATTGCTATTTTTTTTTTTTTTTTCCGATTCAAAAATACTCATTGCTATGGATCATAATTATAAAGACATTATTTCAAATAATTTTTCTATATAAAAAATTTGTATATATAAGTCTTATTTGGAAACTAATAATTTTAATTAAAAAATTATTATAAACTATCACATCACTATCTCTTTAATTTCTTATAACTTTTTATAAAAAAAATTTAAAAAATTATTAAAATAACTAATTTCCAAACCAGGCACCCAACCTTGAGTATAATTATAGATGTTAAAAAAAAAAAATACTAAAGTAAGAATGGCGTAAAATGGAGGCTACAGTGGCACTGCTCTGACTTTCTCCACGAAGAAGCAAAGCAAAAGCCCCCAATATAAATTGCTTGCGTTGTGATTGTGAAGCAAGCAAACACAAACAACAATCCCATAGAATTGTCGATATGGGCGATGGAATATCGACAAAACTTCCGATTCCGGGAAAGCGAAACATTCTCATCACTAGCGCCTTGCCTTATGTCAACATTTATGTATATATTTAATGATATATTTTTTTATTATAATTTTATTCTAAAATAAAATTATTAAAGTATCCTTATCTTTTTCATTAAAATCCTAATTTCTTAACCCTAAACCTAGCTACCGTCCACCACTATTGTCGCCACTATTATAATTTTTCAAATCTGAGTTCATTGTAATCTCTTGATCTCAACACTAACCAATTGAGTGGGAATTTTCCTAAAACATTGTTTATATATTTATTTTCAATAGCTTTTTACTATTGTTTTCAAGAGCCTTTTATTACAGTTTTATTTTCACGGTTGCAAAGACTATTCACAATATGTCATTTTTACTATTTCACTTCTTGTTCTTCTTCTTCCTATTCTTCGTCTTTTGTTTTTGGGTTTTTTGTGTGGCTATCTCATACATAGGGGTGTGCGCAGTGCGATTTGGACGGTTTGAGAGTAAAATTACAAACCGAATGACGGGTTGGCGGATTAGTGGATTGACAAATTGTGGTTTGGGCAGTTTTTGACGGATTGAAGAATATTCTAACCAATTATCATACATTTGCATAATATATAATACTAATTTGTATAATATATTTTAGATATATAACACAAAGTAATTTTACATAATATATTTCATATATATATCTACTAATTTGTAATAAATCTATATCTTAAATCTCTCTCATACTCATTTTTACATTGAAATTTCATTGGAAGTTAAAAAATATATATGTATTAATTATAGCGGAGCGGAGCAGTTCGGTTGGCGGATTATAAATTTTAAAGTTTAAACCGCGGTTAACGGTTAGAGCGGTGTGGATTGATACGGATCGCTGTGGTTTTAGCGGATTAGGCAGTATTTTGCACAGTCCTACTCATACATACATATTTTCACTACTATACAAGAATTCTATTCTCAACGGAAAAAAAACATCAAAAAACAAAGGATCTAGTGGTAAATATTCTTTCAATTCAATTCAATTATTATTTTTTATTTTTTTATTTTTTCGTAGTGAGTGAATTTTTGGATTGATTTGTTAATATCTTTATGGTGATGTATTATTTGTTTGCTTGCGTGTCCCAATTTATACATATGTTTCATTTTTGCAACCGAAAGATTTTTTTCACCGGGCCATTGCCAGAATACTTGAAGAACTGTTCTTTACCAACTAGAGAATGTGTGTTAGTTTTAGGGTTTCAATGTTAAAAAGAAGGATATTTTTGACAAAAAGGATTGTTCATTGAGTAAAATTACAACATTCAAAATTAGTTGGTATGTGTATTGAGAGAGGATGTGGAGTAAGATAATTTGGTGTGTGAAATAGAATTATCCCATTGTTATCAAGAGTCAACACTATTTCAAGTAAACTTTAGCGGGTAAATTACACTTACACCCCTAATGTTTGGATTTAATATATATCATCTCTTAACGTTTGAAAAATTACACTAACCTTCCTGTCATTGTAATTATTTAGACAATATAAAAACATTGAACTCATATACTCTCTCTTTCTTGTTTTGCTTTACTTTACTTTCTCTGTTTTTTTTTTTTTTTCCTTTCCTTTCCTTTCTTTTTTTCTTTCCTTTCCTTTCCTTTGCTTTACTTTTTTTTTTTTCCAATGTAATTTCCTCTGTTATTCTATTAAGAGTTGTTGCCTTATATATAAGTAAAGAATTTGTAAAATAAGACTATTAACTACAGAAGTGTAAATGTAATTTTCAAAACGCTAGGAGATAGACGTTAGGTGTCAGTGTAATTTACCCAACTTTAGCCTTGTTAACACAATGAATACCACAATGCAGCCTAAGTTTCTTCAATCTCCATGGCCATTCTTCATCAACGTAAGCTCACCATTTTTATTCAATGAATTTGGAGATTTTGGATTGGCTATGGATGTTGACATGGATGACTACAACCTCGACTTCTGTCCTCCTTTCATCACAACTGAGGACTACTCCCTTGATAAATCTAAAATCTCAACCTTTCCAAGTCCAACCACTTTACTTGACGAGTTTTCAGACCCTCAAGTTCATGTCAAAGATTCAGATACCCGGTAGCCAGAAGACGATTTTTCGATAGCTGTGGAGGATTTTGGTATTGAGGTTTTGTCAAAGTCGCCGGAGAAAAGTGAGGAGAGTTTGCAACTAACTTTACCTACTGAAAACATGGAAATCAACAATGTAATTCATCTAATCAAAGCTTATAGAGAAGCCATTGATGAAGGGCAGATACAGCTTTCCGAAGTGATCGTGAAGCGTATAAGCGAGAAAGTGAGTCCGGTTGGGGGAGTCATGGATCGGTTTTTGTATTACTTGTTCCAATCCTTCGACAAGCAAGCTGATTACCTTAGGCAAGAGTCAAACAATAACTTCCTTGCAGCTTTCATGACATTCTACCAAATATTCCCAGATGGGAAGTTTGCTCATTTCGCAGCCAACCGAGCAATCCTCCAAGCCATGCCTCATGATGTGGAGCTCATACACATCATTGAGTTTGACATGGGGGAAGGGATTCAATGGCCTTCAATGATCGAAGCCATTGGATGGCAACAAAGGAAGGAGATCAGACTTAGACTAACATCAGGAAAATGGAGCGAGGGAGATTCTGACTGTTCCCCCTCACCCTGGAGGTTCACAGAGACAAGGAGATGGTTGTGTGATCATGCCCAAGCTTTTTGCGTAAAGTTGACTGTGGATACCATGGAACTTCATGATTTGGTTAATGAGATGAAGACAATGAAGAGAAATGGAAGGAGAAGAGAGTGGTTGGTTTTTAATTGCATGCTAAGGCTTCCCCACATGGGCAGGGTGAGAAGTAGGAGAGATCTATCAAAATTTTTAAGGGTGGCTAAGGAATTGCTAGCTTACGTTACAAATCGTAATTTTGATAGAAAATCTTTTAGTACGCAGAATCCGATTATAGAATTAGATGTGGGTTCCATTTCATGTGAAAATATTGTGTTCAGTTTTATGATCAGATCTTGTGCACGTAGAAGAACTGATTTTGATAACATGGGTATTATAGCTTTTGGTGATGGAGATGTTTGGGTGAATCCAAAAATTTCCTCTAGTTTTGGTTCATTCTTGGATGGGCATTTGGTACATTACAAGCTTTATTAGAATCCATAGAATGGGCTTTTCCAAATCATCTTGGAGAAGCAAGGACTGCCTTGGAATGTCTCTTTGTGGCTCCTTTGATATCTTCTCTTGCATGGATTCATAAATGGGATGAGATGGGCTGTTGTGATCTTCAATTAGGGTTTGGGTTAGAGGGTTGTCAAGTGAGCAAAGAGAGCTTAATGGAAGCCATGGAAATGGTGAGAGAAGGGAAGAGTCTATATGGGGTGAGGATTGAAGGTGAGAATAACAATATCATGGTCTTGGAATGGAGAGGAATCCCATTAGTGAGATTTTCTTGTTGGAGAAATCAATGAAAGAAAGAAAAATAAGAAATAGTGTCAGTGCATTAGACTCCTATTACCACAAAGCCTGTCTTCGTGAGTTCAGTCCGTGATGCTTAAGGCCAATTCCATTGATATGTACTGTAAATCACATGTTTTGTATTATTTATTCATTATGTGAATATTGTGCTAATTCAATTGAAATGTATTGTAAATCATATGTTATGTATTATCCATTATGTGAAATTAAGAAAATAAAAAAAGAGAGTTGGACTCTCATTATTGTATGATTTTGAAGGATTAGATGTATGTAACCTTCGTTTACTTTTCTGTGATTGGAATACTTCGTAGTCATTCAAAATTTATTCATTATGTGAATATTGTACAATGATTACATCGTCAAAAGGCTATGAAAGACTCATTATAAACCGTTGAATAATGTAATACATAGGATTGCTGTCTTTTTTATTCCACAAAGTTGGATCCACCTCAAACCATCGAAATGTAGCTAACTTGCACAATATCTATAGCAGTTGACCTAGTTAGCTAGCTGTGCCTTAATCCATCTGTTATCGTTTTCTTGTTTTTTGTTTTTGTTTTTGTTTTTGAGAATGAAATGTATGTTATGGTTTAATATTCAAATGTTTTTGCTTCCGGCTTCACAGTATTGATGTTACATAACTAATCTGAACATGAGAATTATTTTAAAGGAAGAAAATTCACATTACTATTTATATTGTATATAAGTTGAGCCAATTCAGCAGCAAGTTTTTCAAAATTGGCTTGAAACTTAAATGAATATCAAAAAATGCTTAAATTGAATTATTTATCTTATAATCATATCTCAAATGCGCTTTTAAAGAGTCAAATTTGATTAATTTGATTCATTTTGCTGTCTTAACCATTTGTTCAAGACTCGTGGAGTAACCAGATATCATGATTGAAAAGTTAAGTAACTTAAGATTAATGTGTTTAGATCTTAAATTTGCTATTAAAAAAAAAAAAAAAAGAAGGTCTTTATCTTTTCTTTACCCTCTACAAGTCCAAAATCCAAGCACAAAATAACATAAATAGAAGTCATAGCACTAGAAAAAAAAATTTGAACAGAGGAATGCCATTTATGATGGAATATTTTGCAGAGTACATAGAAGAAAATTAAAGAGTTTCTTAGGAAGTCTTAAATACATACTTGTAACATAAACACACTTTAAAGGTTTGTTTGATTAGACGAACTTATAGCATAGGATTGAAATTATTAATTCATATGACACATTCCAATGTTTGGTTGCAATTTAATGTTATTCGGATTTACTAAATGGATATTTCACCCAACAATAATGTTACAACTAAAAATACAACACAAACATATAATTGGAATTATATATTCCCATATACATTGCAAAATAAATGTGGACATGAGAAAATTATTTATCCCGCTAATCCAGCTCAATAACTAATCTAAAACTAATCTCATGGATTGTTAATCTCTTCACTATGAATCCTACTAATCAAACAAAGACCTAAAAATTGTAAATATATAAATTCCTAGAAATACTCATGACTGAATGCTCCCTATGACATCGTACATTCTCAATCAATCCAACAATGTTCTATGTATGTCATTTAGGTGCAAGAAAGCAACTTAATTATCAAGAGAGTATAAATCTCAGATCAACTACAAAAACCAGACGCACAAAGAGTGCACACACATGCACACACACCTGACAATATAGCGAAAGATCAGAATAGAAGGCTTTTTAAACCACCCATTCAACAGGTCCCTACAAAGTTTTTCTGATCTCAGTGAGAGAGGAGTACCACCAAACTAAGTAGTCATGTAGAAATTTCACATCATCATAATAATAATGAATCAACCAACAAGAATTGACAAAAAGCTTAGGGGGATTCGGGGGCAGCTCCTTTCGAGCTACGTAGCATGGTCCAACATATAATTGGAATTATATATTCCCATATACATTGCAAAATAAATGTGGACATGAGAAAATTATTTATCCCGCTAATCCAACTCAATAACTAATCTAAAACTAATCTCATGGATTATTAATCTCCTCACTATGAATCCTACTAATCAAACAAAGACCTAAAAATCGTAAATATATGAATTCCTAGAAATACTCACGACTGAATGCTCCCTATGACATCGTACATTCTCAATCAATCCAACAATGTTCTACATATGTCATTTAGGTGCAAGAAAGCAACTTAATTTTCAAGAGAGTATAAATCTCAGATCAACTACAAAAACCAGACGCACAAAGAGTGCATATACATGCACACACACCAGACAATATAGCGAAAGATCAGAATAGAAGGCTTTATAAACCACCCATTCAACAGGTCCCTACAAAGTTTTTCTGATCTCAGTGAGAGAGGAGTACCACCAAACTAAGTAGTCATGTAGAAATTTCACATCATCATAATAATAATGAATCAACCAACAAGAATTGACAAAAAGCATATATTAAAACAAGGATGAAGACAAAAATTGACGAACCAAACCACTGATCAGTGGATGCATAGAACTTAACAAAGTTAGTAAGAATATGAGGCCACCTTCTCCATGGTAATGGCTTCAAATTCAATGCTGACTTTCTAGCAAGAAAGTTTCTGACTCTCATAAAAAGCGGATAATAAAACATTTTCCCAATTTCAGAAACTTTTATGAGCAAAATACAACAGACACAACCTTAGTGACCCTAACAGACTTGACCTTTACCAACCAAAGAGCAAGAAAAAACAGTTTCATGAACAAAAAACAGCACTTAAGAAATAACTAACTTTTACCCACAGACAGAAAAAACACGTCCAATCATCCCTTGCATCCACGTTGCAGTCTCCTTGAGCTGTTCATCGTCGGATTGAAGACACTCGACCAAAAACTCGGTACAGAATGAACAGTCCTTTAACAGTATCTTCACATTTGAACCTAGTGCATCTGCAAGATCACCTAACACTGCAACTGCTGCCTTTGTCACACTCTCCTCCCTACAAAAGCCACCAGGATAACAGCTATTAGGAATAAAGTGTGGTAAATAAACACATCCAAGCAGTATTTTAGAAAGAGACTTGGGAAGCGGATTGAAGAAAATGAAAGTAATCAGCAATACCTTTGTCTTTCTCTACAAACTAATTCTATGAGCTGCAAAAGATGTGCAGCATGTGGCACCATTAAGTCAGGCTTAGAATTCTTAAATCCCTGAAGAATTCCAGAATAAGCTTCAAAGATGCTGCGTGCGCCTGAGCTGGTTGCCATATTCTACCATCTCTTCGTCACTGTTGTCCATCCGGGCACAGATCTCAGCAGCTCCCTGGATCATTGGTATTGCATAAAGAATATATTTCTCGAAGTGTTCACCAATCGCTAGAGCAATATCCCCAAAACAGGAGAATAAGGGGGGTTTGACAGACCGGTGTAGCTCACTGCTAGATAGATCCTTGAGAAGGTGTGTCATGATCCCATCACAGAATGGTAAGATCTTCTCATCCAAAGCACGACAAATATCTCCAACCACCCCAACTGAGATGGCACAAACTTGGTATTCCTCAAAATTCTGCAAACCCATCTCCAAATATTTATAGAACTCTGACATATACTTTCCAAACTCTGGTCCAGTGGCATAAGCTAATCAACAATAGCAAGCATAGCTTCTTCATGCACCGTAGAGCTACGGCAAGCGAAAACCTTGAGAAACAATACCATAATTTGATCAGAAGCCTGCAGTATTACAGCTTTAGTCTCGTCAGTGCTGCTAAGTTTCTGGATAATAGCTTGGAGGACACCACAAAGAAGAGCTTGCAAATCTCCTTGCTTTTCCCTATCATCAGACGATACAATCTGAAGCTCAACAGTCTGCCCCAACTTATTCATGATGACAGGGAGTAGTTGTGTTATGATGTGAGATGTTTCAGTAAGATTTGAACACCTAACCACCTCATTCAAGGTTTCATATGCAGCAGACCTGAGCTTGGAATCACCACCGTCCGTTCGCCCAGCAGTAGCAATAAGACAAGTTATAATGTCTGGAAGGTATGGTGTAAGAAGAGATGAGCTAGCACCAGCATCCTCATAACCCTGAGCAAGGTAGTAAATGGCACCACAAACCTTCTCAGCTACATGTGGAGCATCTTTAATACTCTCCAACAAAACCCCCAAAACCCGCTGGAGATTTGCAGGGGAGATCACAGAGAATCCAGTAGATGGAGTATGCAATAACTCCAAAACACGGCTAAGAGTCCAAGCAGTTGTGTCCTTCACATGGCTGTTCTCATCCTTCATTGCATTAAGCAGAAAATCCAATCCTGCATGGACCATTGGAGCGAGCTTCTCAACACTTGGCCCTTCTAGAATTGAGCCAAATGCATATGTAGCAGCCTCACGCGATCGCCAATCTGTCTTCAATATATTAGCCTCTACAAAAGGCATAACAAGGGGCACAATAGCATCACCAACGGTCCTAGCAACAAGACCTAGACACGTCCCACCAGCCATGGATACATTCCAAATACCATCATCTTGGTCCTGATCCTCTTTCTGCTTCAGTAAAGTCTCCAGCAACATAGGAACTAAATAAGGCAGAGCCTTCTCAATGAAGCGGGAATGCAGAGAGCCAAGAATCACCACTCTCAGCAGTCTCATACTCTTGAAATTCTATCTCTTCATCACATATGGAGCTCCAGAACTCAATTGCTTGAAGTGCAAGTCTCTTCATCTCCTATAACTGCATTTGATGTAAGCTCAAAGATAGTTTGCATGTAAAGCTCGAGCACCTCATAGTATGTTGATGCAATTAAAACAGGACATTCAAAAGCAACTTGTCTAATCTTAGCCTCTTTAGCAACGGCCGTCTCACAGATAACCTTCATAATGTAATTCCGCTACATCTCATTCTCAAAGTTGCTCTGTGCAAAATCAAGAGCATTATAGAGAGCCCTAGTTGCTGCAAGGCGGACTTCAGGGCTGTGCTGTGCAACATTCATCCCTTGGACCACAGCAGTGAGGACAGAGTTGACTTCATCTTGCACAAGATCCTGGTGAGATATCTCCTCACAAATATATCCAAGCGTTTCCAAGGTTGCTTGTTTCAATGAAGCAGGCCTGTCTTGCTGACTCATATTGACAAGCAACGATCCAATTAGTTCAGGCCACTCCTTTCGGGGAATTTCAATTGCAGCAATTTTAGCAATTACTTGGGAAGAAGTGTGCCTTGCTTCAGGAGCTGAAGATCCAAGAGTGTTCAAGAGCAAGTCTTTGATTTTGGATTTAACAGAAATATCAATTGTCACCCACTGTTGAACAAGATGTTCCTTCCTAGAAGCATCTTTAGCATCTAATGAATTTTTAAGCAGGACACCTGCCAATCTATGGGATTCAATGGGTTTGTCATTGTTTGAGAGCTCAACTGACAAAGACAGGAAAAAAGATGGTAGGTTTTGCTCTTGGAACTGCCTGAGGTTACCCTCTGCCTCAGTCCGGACCTTAGCATCGGCTGATTGAGCGGACAAAAGAAATTGGGTGATCTCCAAAGCCATTTTTTCCTACATTACATTACCAAAATTTTGCAGCCTACGTCTGCAGAGCATACAAAGGCTCTAGCAGACCTAGTGCTTGCAGATCACTTTCCGTTGAGATCAACTCATCCAACAACGAAAATTCTGTTGCTCAAGTTAGCTACACAAGCGAGGTTAAAAACTTGACATCAATGGCACCAGCACAGAAAAAACCAGAATCACCAACAGCTTCATCGACAAAGCAGATGAAGATGAAGATGGAAATTCTGTGTAATTCGTAGCACCTGTGACTCAGTCCAGCATCAATCCATTACCATACATATATCATTGACAGGCTAATATAATAATGTGTTCAAATGGGCAAACCATGTTTCTAAAAAGTGCATGAATTAGGTGAAAATCCCAAATGATGAATCTAGGTTAAGGAACATATGTTGTTAGATTCTAAACTTTCTCAAGAAAATTCAAAATCCTTGCAAGCTTTGCAAGCATTTACATTAGTTGGAAACAGACAACTACTTCTAAATCTACGCAGCAACAATCTATGAACAATTGATTTAGAAATGAGTTTGAATGATTCAATATAGCGATCGACTAATCTGCTGCGATTAAAATGTTTTCTACTTGTCTCAATTCAAGAACTGCAATATTTTCTTCCAAGTAATATCACGAAAAGAGATTAAATGGAGCAAACAGCCAAATAACTCGCGTCAACACTAACAGACTTGGAATTAAGTCAACAAAAATTACAAATTGACAAGATTAAAGATTCAAAATGCTAAAAAAGTTTTGAGTTTCAACGTAACTATAAGACAACCGATATAAATATACTCATAAACTGGATTCCATATTGCCTTGGAAATGGAAGAACGTTCGAATTTTATCACAAGCTTATCATGTTCCAAATGTTGTTGCATGTATCAAATGCAGTAGCTTCTGAAGGGTCAAATTCAAACTTCTCAACCGCCTTTCTGTCTCTTTTCACGATATCTGTTATTGGTCAGGTTTAAGGAAAACCCAATTCTGCAAAATACTAAACTAGCCTCTACTAGAAATAAAATTGACATCACGGAAGGAAAAGAGTAAAAAGAACAAGTAAGGATACACCCTGATATTTTGGAATTTTCATGCAAGTTTGGAATTATATTTGTGACAGAAGCATACATTGAAAGCTTCATCCTACAAGACACAAGAAAATTGTTTAATCTGATGCATCCAAAAATGTAGATAAAGAAGGAAAGAATAGAAATCAAATCACAGTTGCAAAAGAAGGCTAAGAAAGATGGTAACATATTATTTCCTCACAAGTCAAAGGGTTGACTCTATTTAAATACAGATTTGAGAGAATAAAGTACGACGTAAATACATTTCGCGCGGTTCCAACCTTCCAAATCAAAAGTAGTTGATAAGATCTTTTTAGTTGAATATATGAACCCAATTACACATAAAAATACGATATATATACGAAGTTACTGATGCTGAAAGGACCCTAGCCAACAAAAGGGCAAAATTTGAAACATTGAAGTAACCCTCCCCCGCTACTTTAAAACTCCAAGCATGAGTTCACAAGCAATTTTTTTCTTCTAATAAATGTGACGAATTCATGACCATACAAAACTTTAAATGAGCATTGTAAGACATGACAACCATACTAGAATGAGCAACACAAAGCGAGAATCCTTAAATGATTGTAACAGGTTTTCTGGACTTACTGTGCCCTCATCTCATCTTGCTCAAGCTTTCTCAGAATCTCCCTTCTTTCTTCAACAGAAGCCCTTTGATTTTCTAGATCACTAATTTCATTGGTAATAACTGTGTTGACAGAATTTACAAACAAATCACCAATTAATACCATTGATTTGAAACCAAGAATAAAAAATATACTACTGAAATTGACCAAATACTTATCTAAGTTCCTCCTGGAGCAAACGTTCTCTCTGAAATTCCTCTTCCAACTCTTGTTGAAGCAAATCCATTTCTGCATCTGAAGTAGCTTCGGATCTTGCCTCATCTGATTTTTTCTTGCTCACATCTATCCTTTTCTGATAATCTGATGCATGTAATAACTTGTCAGTGATATAACACGCAGATCTATATTGACACTAAATAGCATGTTTGCAAAGAAAATTGAGAATAAGCCTTCCTGAAGTATTTTTCTAGCAGTTGCACTTAAAGAATGGTATTCATTTTAAACAAGATGCAATTGCAAAACAATGATGGACTAAAAGAACTACAATGGCAAATATCCCTGTCTCCTCAATGGGGTGACAGCCTGTCATTTGGACTAGGGTTTGATAATTGTGGGTGGTTAGTAGATGAATAGTGTAACATCCCATCCTAGAGGGAAAATTAATTACTAATAATTTTGTTGGGTACACATTGAAAATTGTAAGAAACTGGGAATTTATCTTTGGTTTAAATTATAATTTTTAAAATGTGTGGAAATGAAAAATATAATTATGCAAGTTATGCAAACGAGAATCTTAGAACGCGCACATCAAGCAAAAAACTAACAACTGCTAAACCACACTTCAATTTGCTATTGCCAATACAATACATATATTTGTGATGTCTCTAACACTCTGTTTGGATCATGAGGGGAGGTGAGAAAAGAAACGATTGGAGTCTGTCACTTGGGTGAGAAAAGAAAAGAAACGATTATGATTTCTCACCATTATGTTTGGATGAATAAAAGATAATAGAATGGGGTTTCTCCCCTATGTTGTTTGGATAGGGTAAGTAAGAGAAAGGAAAAGAAAGTGTTTTATTTTATTTTATTAAAATAACGTTCCATATTAATAAGTTGTTGTTTTTTCATATGAGTAGTTTTGGTATTTTAAACAAATTTCATTAAATTCAATTCTTTTCTCACAAATCTCACCACTTTTGGTGAGAAACAAAACACAAGTTTGGTGAGAGTCCATTTCTCACCTTCCTCAACCATCCATATAGTGAAGTCTCACCATTTCTAGTCTTTTCTCACTAAACCCCTCCATCAAAATAGAGTAAATGAATCCCAAAATTTTAGTTAGATATTCCATCTCATAGTACGTACGTACATACATACATACTGGGGGGAATTTCATTTCAGTGCAACTTAAAAAAAAAAAGAAAAAAAGAAAAAATTAGGCTGTGTTTGGTTGTGCTTTTGAAATGTGATTCTACATGCTGGTTTCAGCTCCATGTTTGGTAAGAGTTCTGGAATTAATTTTCCAAAACTCTGCTGAAAGCTCTGTCCATTCTGCGCGTTTCTTGTATTTTTTTTGGCCAGGGGAAGACCGCCTGGTCGTCCCTAGGGACTACCACCCGGACATCCTTGGGGACATCCACCCGGATGTCCTCTGTTGTACAGATTTTTTTTTTTTTTTTTTTTTTTTTTTTTTTTTTTTTTTTTTTTTTTTTTTTTTTTTT